TATTTCCTCTTAACTCATCCTTAGAATGAGATTAATGTTTGATTTTGCAGCAGTACTCCAGAATTGAATTTTTTACGTCCATACTGGTTTGATTATACATTTATATATTAGTAATTTATTACTGATCGATAATATGGATTTTCTACTTAGTAGCCAGTAGAATTTTTTTATCTGTAGGTCAAGTTGTTAACGTTTTGTCCAAATGTGATCTCTCCATATTAGTCGTCGATCAAAATACATTCCAAGAAATTAATTTGTTGCTTACAGATATTGGAGGACAAGTCTCTTTCTTCAAGGTGTAGGTTATTTAAATTAACATTGTTTCATTTACTGTTCTCCATTTTTTGAACCATAGTAAAGTTTTATCTCGGTATTTCTGCATATTATATGAGGTCGTTGTGAATTAAAATACGTAAATTAAAATAGCTGTATCGTCTGTGTATGTGGCAATATTAATATCTTTCATAGTTGGAAGATCATGGGTATAAATTAAGTACATGTAGTATAGAACCTAGGACACTTCCATGGAGAATGTTAGCATTTAATGAATAAAGTTTAGTCGTTTCGTTATTTATTTTTACTTTACAGGTTCTGTAGTATAGATGTGATTCTAGCATATATATATATATATATATATATATATATATATAAGGAACTCTTATTAATTTTCCATTAATGTTATCGTACCTTAGGCAAGTTATACATGATTGAAAGGAATATTATTTTAGTTTTATTGGCAATCACATTTTATTTATCAATGAGTTTTAAATGAATCAATGATATAGTTCGACATTTTTAAATAAAGAGAAATAGTTACCTAATATGGCGAACTATTAATATTTTCGTGTTACGAACATTTGCAAATTCATTAAAAAAATTCCATTGAGAGATAAAAGGGATGCATATATAGTATAGTCTGATCATAGCACCTTTTGATCTTTATTAACAAGCATCGCTTACAAAGGAATCAATCCCGCATAATATATTGAGCCTGATTAAGCTGGCTGCGCAGACATGCGTATTCCTCAGTGGAAAGGGTGATTTTGAGGGCACGTGACGTACGTGGCCGAAAGGAATATGCACACATGCGGGCATCGGTATATTAAACATTGAACGCCTGGATCGAGGTAATTACTAATTGGCCTTGCTTAAGCAACGCTGCTGTTGCTCTCGTTACTGCGCTTTGTAATTCGAATTTTTTTTTTCTTCGAATGCTTTTTACATTTATCAACTGAGTTTTCCACATATTGCTCCACTTATTGATCATGTTGGCTTTCTATGGAGTTGTAAAAAAAATTAAAGGTTGAGGTGAGGGGATTTGAATGAAATATTTTATCAGTGACTTGTAATTTGGCGTTTTTTATATGCATAAAACATTTTTGAATCGAATAAGATTTATTTGATGTTTTTAGAAATATTTATCAACAATGAATAAATTTTTTAACTATTCATAATCTATGAACATTAGTTAACTGATAGAATAGAAAAGAAATAAGCTCTGCTATGCTCAATAATAATTTTATTACCTATACTGATCTCATTTCGTAGATTTTGTAAATGTGAACGTATGGAAATACAGTATGGAAATTTCATTGAAAAATTGTATATTTAAATTTCTCGATATGAAAGAACAAATTGTATACTTTGTTAAAAAAATGAGTTTTTCTAAAGATTTATTTTGTTGCTTTTTCTTTTACAATCTAGACGAAAAATCATCTGTGCAAATATTTTAGATCATTCAATAGGAAAACCAGTAATTACAGTATTTAAGGTAACTCTATGGCTTGTTGCTCAGCTTCGGGTCGTCACGCGGTTCATCTCACTCGTATTGAGAGAATCGTTGATGGATCAGTGTGAAAAAATTTCGAGTTATTCTTCAAAATGTATAGTTTCTCATAGTCTCAGCCAAATGATGATATGTATTCTTGTTTAACTAGAAAAAATTATAATCTCAGAATTTACAAACTGCGTAACTTCAATCGACAAAACTGTGTTATAAATTTTGAAAAACGCAAAATATTTTGATACCACATTGTTTGATAACCTCTCAAGTATATGTGTATCAATTTTGAAGTCATAATATTCATTAGAAAAAATTAGAGAAACGATTTATAGACTTGGCGGCGCGTCAAGAACACAGACAAATATCATATTTATTAAACTTTGGGACAATGAAGCCTATTAAATTCGGAAGTGATTGCCGTGTTGAAAATAGGTCACGCAGAGAAATTCGTAGTTATCCACAGAAATGTTACAAAAATCGATGACGCGGCGCGCCGCCAAATCAGTAAATCGCTTCTCTAATTTTTTCTAATAAATATTATGACTTCAAAATTGATATACATATACTTGAGACGTAAATAAATAATGTAGTATCAAAATATTTTGCATTATCGATACTTCATAGCACACCTTTGCCGATTGAAAGTTATGAATTTTGTAAATTTTGAAGTAATAATTTTTTCCGGTTAAACAAAAATACATATTAACATTTGGCTTAAACTATAAAAACTATACGCTTTCAAGAATGGCTGCAAATTTTTTTATTCTGAACCATCAAAAATTCTTCTAATACGAGCAAGGTGAACACAAAATGAATTTTTTTAATCGCACATCGGCCCGAAGTTGATCATCTAGTTATAGAGCTACCTTAATCACTTTCATTGAAGCAAATACTTCATTAACTATTAATAAATTATTTTTTATTTATTTGAACTTCACATAGTTAAATAAATGACTTACTTTTTTCAATTAATACTTTTTTCAAAATATATCTATGATAATTTTCCAAATTGATATAGTACTTTTCCATAATCTATTAACTTACTAGAAAGACTCATTTAACAATAACAGATGTCTGAAAACGTGGCTTATACCATACAAAAGACCAGGAGAATAGCGCGGGAAAGCGATCAAGGCGTATTGAGAATACAAGGTCAGACCGCAATGAGAGATTCAGTCAGTGAGGAGGAAGAGGGTGGTTATATGCCTATCGTTTGCGTGCGTATATACGTATAGAGTTATAGAGGTGGTTAATGGCCGCGAGGGCCGATCGCAATATGGGAGTAAACACGTGCTGTGTGTAGTTGTGCATAACCAAAGTGGGACGAGAGAGAGAGAGAGAGAGAGAGAGAGAAGCTATCAACAGGTATACTGTCAGTCGCAGCTCTGTTTTCGCGTCGCCGAGACTTTGATTCGTATGTTGAAAGGATGTTTACCTTCCTCCTACCGACTATAAATCCAATCGAATATCACTTGTTTACTTTATATAAGGATATAAGGATTGCGGTTGTTCGGTTATAATACGTAGATCGTTTAGTTATACTTGTGGCTCTATGCTATAGGAGCAAAACTGACTGGAATGTGTGTGTGTGTGTGTGTGTTAAAAACCACTTTGCTTCAGCTTATTGCATAATTTTTTAAATTCAGAAAACTTCATTCAAGAAAATATTCTTTTTTAAATTGAGGAAAAATTTCTTATGCAATAACGCGATATTAAAAGCATAAACGTTGCTGGAAATTTGTAGCGTGGATTTGTCAGTTTTCGAACATTTTTTACTAAATCTTTTATTTTTTCAAATAAAAACGAAAAAAATCTTTACGTTGCTATAAATAAGTGATGTGAATTTATTCTAAAATAAATTTGCTTTTGCCTATTTATATATGTGTTCATTATTCATCCATCCGTACTCTAATCCGTAAACTACGTCGTAGTAATTTTCATTATTATCTTTATCTTAGATACTCAATACATAAAATAACAGCTATATAGACTTTTTTACTGCAGTGCTAACGGTTAAAAAAATAGTTGGAAAAATCTTTGGAGAGAAATTCCCGCGTTTATAAATCCAGTCGGGGAAAAATACGAATTGCTTTTTTTACATATCGTGGCAGTTGTAGTTCGTCAAAGTAAAACTACATTTGCACAGCGAATAATGTCAGTCGAGCGGACAAGTTTCACGATTAAATAAAATCTGTTGACTTTTCGTGGATGGGAAAATCGATCTATTTAAATGAGAACAGATATCATTCATCCGTTGTACACTTTTTCTATTTCATATTGCCGACGATGCTTTTTATCAGTGTATAATAGTTCCTTTTTCACGATTGATAAATTTATTGACAGGCAATATCACGAGGTTTTATTCTACAGTTTTTAGTGAACTCAAAAAGTGTCGGAAGAAAATGTGGTGAATGTACCAAAAAAAAAAAAGAAAAACACGACGACGGCGCGTAAAGCGGAGACGTAATTGAATCAATAATATTTATAATGAAACTCCGCAGAAAAATACTGCTGTGATGTAAAAATCTTTTAGCATAACTTCGTGATTGGGTCCGAGTTAAAATTTCCCTTACTAACTTCGTTAAACAAGAATATATATAAAAATAAAAGAAAGAACATTGATTGTGCGTAAGAGCGACAGGAAATCGCAGTAATCGCATCATCTTAGTTAATAATATAGTTAAGCAAAGTAGCAACACGGGTCAATTGCATTAGACAATTGGTATACCGGGGTAGGTTCCATTAAAAGTCGGATTTTTCTTGCTGTGCGCCTCACGAGAGAGACAAATTGACGCGCGCAACTTGCCAGCGGACCACTCGTCGAGATTGAGACTCTGCTGCGTTATAATTAATTTATAATGGGCCGACGGCCTAATTGGGTGCGCGTACTTTCTTCTTCCCCCGCCTTCGCACCCGCGAGGCAGCGGCTCGCGCTAATTAAACGCGGAGATGTATGGCCAGTTGTAACACTCACTTGTTTTGGCCGCACCCTGTTGTCCTTTTTCGCGCAAGAGGCGCCAAAATTATGCGCGCGAGGAAACTGTTTTGCCTGCTGCGTGCGTGTGTGCGTGCGCGCGTGCGCGTCTGTGTGCTTCGCTAACTCGAGTGCGAATATTTTTTTTCCTTTCATTTTGCTCGACGAGATGAAGTAGTTTTTGCTGTTTTTCAATTTGCGGTGAAGGTCTTCATGAATATATCGCGCGGTTTTGTTCTTTTCCATTTATTCTGTTGTTAATTGTACAATGTTGCAAATAGAATTATTTTATTGAATGCTCGGTAAACGTGATAAGTATGTAATAAAAAGTTTAATGATCTACAAAATTGAAAAAAATATTCATGCACATATCATCATATGAAATAAATTTCAATAATCAAAATGTGGGGAAAAGGCATGTCACTCGTTTCCGCTTAATTTATATATATTGTCCACGTAACTCTCATATCACCAACTGCCGACCATTACACTGATCTCATCTAGTTCATCAAAAGTATATCTGACACTTCTCGAGCGAAGATCTCCTTATACAGACATCCTTCAACTCTTATAAAGATTTGTTAGTTTGACTATTACACTTTATATTTTTATGGTCATATTTGTCTGTTTGTATTATATTATATTTTTATTCGGACATCATTTAAGAAAGCTCGGTTTTCAAATGTCGCAGTTTGTCTGCCAGCATAACTATGTCGAATTTTTGGAACTTCGTTGTTTGGTTTGTCCAAATCAATTGATTCTTTACCAATAATCGATAATTGATGATTTATCTTCGGTTCAACTTGATTCTGTCGATGCATTCTTTTGATTATGCGTTCAATTTTTCCTTGCAATTTTTTGATGACGATCTCATCCATCCACAAGCATACGGCGAAGTTCAAGAATGCTAGACCAACAATGATGTATCGCCATTTCATTTCAGGTGGCATTCGCAACTCAAATAAATCAATAATCCATGGATCTATAAACAACTCATGTATACCATTTTTTTCGTAAATCATTTATATAGGCATGAGAATTATTTACCTGGCCAAAGAGTTAAATAAATATTGCCTAACGCGGTAATCAGTAAAGCAATCATGAGTAAATGATTCGTGTATATAGGCTTTCTGTAAGGTTCCCCACGTGAAAACGATATAGCTATTATGATGTATTGGAAATAAGATAGCGATACTACAGAGTAGTTCTCATAACATCTGAAATCTAATCGGTCGTTTTTTACGAATGGCGTATACCAATCTTGATGTCTAACTGCTATAAATACAGACAGCTGTAAATAATTATTATTATTACTTTTGGTTTGAGAATATTTTTTCTGCACCCTAAATATTTTCCATTAATTGAAAAAATTATGAAGATCTATAGAGAATTTCATGTAGCAATGAATAAAAATAACATGAAAAACAAAGATTTTTTAGTGATATTTTGAAATTGAAAGTTGATTGAGTCTCAGATTAAGGATTAATTTATTAGAATCAAATATTATCAAAAGGTAAAATAAAAAAGAGAACCTCCTATAAAAAAAAATCCTGACAAAGTGAATTCAGTTTAATCGTGATCTGATTCTCTGAAAGATACTCACGTGATCAGTTGTTATGTGATAGTATATGTACGCTTATGAAAGATTACTGCAGATTTTTATAAACAATTAAATGTTTGAAAAGTGTATGAATATAGTTAGCATGAAATTAATTTGAAATGACTGCTTTAATCATACTAACCTCAATGACCGACTGATACCTCGGTAGAGAAATTAATTGAACTTTGCTCTATGCAAAAATTTAACTTTCAAAAAATAAAGTACGCAATAAAAGATATAAATCAACAGATTATCACGATAAAATAATGTCAGTTTCAGCTTTGTTAAGTCACGTAAAATGTTATAATTTTTTTTTAAAAAGGTGCTAGTTACAACTGTGAACGTTACTACTATACCGAAGTATGTTATTTACATCGTGAAGGATATGATTATGGAAAACTATAATGTTTTTAAAACTTATAATACATTTGTTATCGTGTTTTTCAAACTTTTGAACGATGATTTTTTAACATACAATTTGGGACAAAAACTTAAAACTTCATTGATAACATTTTCAAATAATGAGTATCAGCATAACTGTTACCAATAAATAATGTCGCTGGTTATATCTAATATCAAATCACAAGAATATTTAATGCATATTGAATTTTCGAATTATTAATTTCGGGAATAAAAATTTTGATTTATATTCGTGTATTAAAATGAACGTAAAAAATAATATGAGCACACGAAGCACGCTAAACATCACTAGTTTTACTAAAAAACTGAAAAAATCTTCATTTATTATTTATTGGATTATTCTTCTTACTTGTAATTATTTTACACATAGAATATTGGCAATGTTGTGTATTTTATATTTTCTAGTAATATTTGACATTACCTGGAAAACTCCGTAAACAAAAAGATGTGAGCCGACCGATAATAAAGGCCCAACACTGAAGAGACACGAAGTTGGTGGTTCTTTAGCAAATTTTCCTTCGTATGTTTTAGTATTACCAAAAAGGAGTCCAAACAGGAGACCGAGAAAGAAATCAATGTACATGAATTGCCAATTGGTGGGACACGAACCGATCCAGAATAGTATCAAAGTTGAAATGGACTCGACGAGCGCATAGGTGATAGTAAACTCAAAGTTACTAAATGAAGTGACCAATGCTGCACGACCTTCTCTAATCAATGTTGTTACGCAACTTATATCTGAAGTTAGAGAAACGAATGGACTTGCTACACTGAAAGACAAAAACATAGAAAATCCATCGATGTAGTGTATATTTTTATAATATTAGAAATTTCTTACCTTGATTCTGCCTCGGACAATGAAATACCAACGTGGGCTGCTTTCAAAGCTTCGCAATCGTTTGCTCCGTCACCGCACATTGCTGTCATATTTTTCGGCATAAATTTCGAATGATCTCCGATACGTACTTTTCTTTTTTTTACATACCTACGTTGTAGCCTAATTGCATTAGCTCGAGAATAAGTTGTTGCTTTTGATTACTAGTCATTCTTGCAAAAACAGCTCCTCTTTGACAAATTTCAGCCAGTAACTTTGCGTCGTTCTTGCACAAAAATTGCCAGATATCTCCTGTAATGGCGAATTTAATTCGATTCGATTTAGGATTAATTTTGATAGGATTATTACTCTTGAAAAATATTTTGGTAGAGTTTGAATTGTTTGTTTGCATCAAAACGTTTAATATGCGTTCTTCTTGCGATACGATTCCGCATTCTTTTGCTACTGATATAGCAGTTTGAATGTTGTCACCTGAAAATAACTTTTGTCAATACTAATCTAATATATTTGTAAGTAATGGTACCTGTAATCATGATAACACGCATATTGCAATCTCTTAATTCTTGGATAATACGTTTAGTAACACTTTTCAATTTGTTTTCAAATAGAATGAATCCCAAGAATTCCAGATTTTTTTCAACTTCCTCTCTTGGTAAAGCTTCGATCTACTTGATTAAACATGGGAATTATGATAATAAATTAAGTCTTCACATATTGAATCATTATTCTTTCACCTTTTGTTCACAGCCAACGTCAAGTTTTGAGCATCCAAAAGCAATAACTCTAAACCCCTGCTGCGTATATTTTTGTAACACATAAAATGCATCTTGCGGACAGCTACTAGGTTTGCTTAACTTAAGTATCATCTCCGGTGACCCTTTTACGTAGATATTTAAATCATTGGAATAGGGTGATTTTACAATAGTAGACATTCGTTGAAGATCACTTGAAAACTGATATTGTTTGATGGTATAGATTTTTTCATTGTTGTCCGGGGATTTAATTGTTGTTACTAATTTTTCTTGAATTTTTTCCGGCTCTGCTAGTTGCCAACCGGTGCTCTTGAATATCTTAATTAAAAAATTTTAATAGGGATTTAAATTTAAATTACAGGGACTTAATTTAAGTTTAAAATTAAATAATAATGCACAAATTATTACATACGCCTAAGTCAAGAACATCGCCCATTAGTTCTCCGTCAACGTGTACAAGACTATGACACACAAGCATTCCTTGAAATATTGGATGATTCTTGAGTTTCGTCAGATCTTTCTCGAGATAGCCAAGCATCCGGTGAGTGCTTGGTATAATTCCCATGATGCTCAAACCATCCTCTGTTAATGTGCCGGTCTTCAAACCATACATAATAATATTGTCAATGATATATAATACTTTCATTATAGATTTACCTTATCAAAACATATACAGTTGACGCTTCCAGACGTGATTATTGCTTTGGTATCGGTGCAGTAAATATGTTTCTTTTTCAATCTACTACGGGCGTAAGATACTCCTACCATCATAACGACAGGAAGAGAAGCTGGCAAGACAAGTGTGATTTCTGACAAAGTGGTTAATACGATGAATTGTGGGACTCGACGATAAATTTCATTTTCACTCTATAACATCAAACGAAATCCAGCGATTAACTGATATACATTAATATGGATGTAAGATCATCGATGGGACAATTACAAGTACAAACGCTGTGTAAATTATTTGAAATAAACCTATCACACAAAGTATCGTCATGATTTTTCTCATGTCTTCTTTGAATTTGAAGTCACTTTGAGGCGGGTAAAGTATAGAGATGACTAATGTCCCTTTGGCAGTTTGCAAACCGGTTTTTATGACTTTCGCTAATACTGGTCTATCTTCGTAATTTCTGAAATATTGACGAATAAATTGTAATCTCAAAGGAAATTCATTGACATTGAAGAATCATGTGAGGAATTTTAATGCAGAAACTTACCTACTTTGAATAATGGTAGTACCGCAAAATAAAGTATTATACGAGTGTAATTTGGAATTATACAAAACATCTTCACACGGCAAAGGATTTTTAACAACAGGAACTGATTCCCCTGCAATAAACCATCGTCATTAAAAATTTGCCAAATGAAGTTCAATGTTTTAAAGTTCCATTATGTTTGATACCAGTGAGTTCGGCTTCATTAACAACGCAAGTACCATCTAAAAGTATTGCGTCGCAAATGATCGTTCCTCTTTGCCTTGGCAATTCTATTATGTCACCTGGGACCAATTGCACACTGGAAATGCTCTCAAACATTCCATTGTTTCGCACTACTCTGACCGTTTCCGTTGAAGCCATGGTATTACGCAAACTAATCTGATTCTGAAAATAGAGAATGAAACTCTCCTCGGTATATAAGCTGAAACTTTGATAGTTATAATATCAATGTGGTCACCTTTCTCGTCTGCAACGCTGAATATAAAACGTTCCACGAAATTATAATTAACAGTACTATCGTGTAGTAATAATAACTTTCGAAAAGCCACAATATTATTGCAAATAATTGAAAAACACAAAAAGGATTTAATACTTCTTGAGCAAATAACGTTGCTAAGGGTTTTACCGGAATATGAATCTCATTGTTTCCATGGATAATTCGCCTGAAAAGTTATGTTTGAATTAAGCAAATACAAGAAACTATTTTTTTACATGAGACTTCTTACCTTAAAATTTGTTGTTCTTTCGAGAGTCCCTTGTTGTTGACATTTAGATCCGAGCAATAAGTCACGTTTTTTAAGCTTGTAAGTTTGGAAAATTCATTGTTCTTAACGTCCCAAACGTAGCATTCTTTTTTACACCAAAATACACGGAATTCTTCTGATTCTATTTTTGTGCCGTTTTCCAAGTTCATTTTCAGATTAACATCTGTCAACTTATTCAGTAAATCTAATTCACGGTCGCTTTGTATAGTGAATAATTTGTTTACTCTGTCGAGAAAACAATAACAAGTTATATTTACTTTAGGATTTACGTCGTTACATAAATTTTAGCAAATTACCGCCAATTCTTAGTGGAAAGATTTTTAACAGCTTTGACAAAGTAAGATTGATATTTGCCTTGATAATCAATCTACTAATTCGTTAAAATTTTTGAGATATTTTTCATAAATTTATCAGCTGAATTATGTTTTTCTACGAGAAAACTTACAACGATGAGAATATTTGTAGCCTCGGCAAGAGAACATTTTTTATGTGTTGCATAAAGATGAATATGTGGATACCAATGAAAAATTAGTCGTAAACCACCAATCGTTAATATGTATGCTAAATAAATCAGGTAAGTCTTTGGCCAACTCTTTTTATAGCCACGCACTTGCTAAGTAAACAAATTTGAAATAAATATTTTTTTAAATGTTTGAAATGATTGGAGAATTAAACATTACCATGCATTCATTCTGACTAAAAGATATATCTTGAGTTTGGTGCAGGCTCTTGTCTTTTGATACTGCAGGAGAAATATAGTAACAGTAATAATTCTCAATTGGAAATAATAAGAAAATTATATCTCAATTAAATATCTATGAATTACCATTATTACGAGTCATTATTGTATAAACAAATTAGCTGTAACAATCAACTTGTTTCTAAAACATATTAATAAGGTAGTTATTCACAATCTGAATTTATTCAGTTTTTTTGAGAGCAGAATAAGATTGTGATCGAAATTTACGCTTACAATAGAAATTTTTTTCTATATCACCCGATATTAGAGGTTAAACCCACTTATTTCACCACAATGTTATGTTAGTTTATCTTCTTCCTACAAAAATAAGCAATCGCGTGGCTGGCTTTACTTGACTATTGAGAGAAGGACGATGTCAGTGCGAAGACTGCGAGCGCGGAAAATAGAAAATAGCTGCTTACCCGCGCCTTGAAGCGTAAAACTAATTGTAGTCACGTGCACACTAAGTATTTAATTATACCACTTTGAATGTAATTTCCAAACGTTCCCACATCCAAAATGTTTATTTCTACAATGATAAAAACCTGTAACGTTCTTCTTGTTGCACTGGCGAATGTTTTTTGTCGACGAATGATTACATCTAGTTGCAGTAGCCGACTGTTAACGAGCGATTTACCGCTCATTCTACTCTTATTAACTTATGTACTTTGTCGAGTGTCCTTTGGGTTTTTTTTGTCGCTAGCCAGACTGACGATTATTACCATTCGAAATTAGTTTGAATAGGATTGTCTTGCTGAGAATACTCAGATTTTAACGACAGTTTATATATATAAACTTTTTTCATAAATTATAGACGCGGTACTTGAAAAGGCTATTTCAATATAAAACTTTGCATTGTTATCTGTAACTTCCTACTCATTGTTTCGGCAGTAAATAACTGATTACGTCAATATGCATTTTCTAAGTGCAAACTTCAATGACAAAACAAATGTTTCTCTACCAATGTTAAGGTTTTTATATTCATATTAAGCATGTCAAGTGACGTTTCTTTCATATGTATAATCTGTACTTGTCTTAATATTATTATATATCAGTGAGAGTGTCTGTCAGGGATATTGAGATTCACGAAACTTTTATAATAAATCACGCTTACCTCGTCGCTTGTACGCGATTTTTCCAGTCACACCGTACAAGTCACTATTGGCGCGAAAATGCGTTTAGTAACGAACTTGTCAATCGCTGGCTGGCGATCCATCAGCTGTAGACACTTGGCCGCGTGTGAGCGCGTTTTATAAAATTCCCGGTTCTTTTTTATTGCCTCGGTGAAAATGACACGTGCGGCGAAAAATTTATGCTTCGCTATCGATAAATACATTGGAAAGTTAAAGTGGTTTTTTGTTTTTTTTTTTTTTTGTTTGTTTTTTATTGAAACGTCAATCGTTTGCCACAAAGACTTTCTATTTTTCAATTAGATACGAATGTTTTTATGATAGCTACGAAATATCAATGGAAAAGCCTTGATTTAAAATAAGTCAGGTGATTTGACTGTTTACTATCTATTTTAACTTAATTATAATAACTGAAGTTGAATTATTAATATGAGAGAATTCCAATAATTAGGTTAAAACTAATTTGAATTTCGACGCGCAAATTAGTAAATCACAAAATCAAAAGCACTGTTGAAAGCCTCATAATTGTAAATATTTATTAATCACATGGATTTAAGATAAGTTTTTTCTTATTTAGGTCATAAACAAATTGCAAGTGCCTGTGACCAATGGGAATTTTTGCTGTAATTACATTTTTGCGGCCGTTTTAAAATAAATTGTGTACTGAAAAGTTGACGTAAAAACCAATACTTAAATACTCATTACTCACTTTTTATTACGTATGGATAAGTTTATAAATAAGTAATATGACAGTACACACGTAAAGATGTGATAAAAATTAGATAACAATTCTACAGTTCTAGGATCCCAAAAAGTGCATTTTTACTGTACGATTTACTGAGCGCTCTTTAGTAATTAGGACCAAAAGATCGCATCATTTAGGAAGGCGCAGAGAGAAGGGTTAACGACAAGAGAATTCCTTTAGAGTGGTAGACGTCGGCCATGAAAGATCACGCGGATATGTAGTTGGGCGAAGATTGAGGAGTAATTGTAAAACATAATTGAATTTTTTTGATTTTTGAGTATTAAACACGTTTATTATATATTATATCCCGGGCGAAATGCTGAAATTTCAGTTTTCTATGGCGTAAATTTGCACGCTAGCATATTTTCCTGCTTGCGCTCGCTTCGAACATTGGCCGTTGCATTTTTTTTTTATTTCTTGGGGTGTATGAGTTTTGTCTCTATATTATTTTTTATGTATCGATGTGAAGAGATACGTTTCACTAGAAATGTTGTCTTTCAGTTGGAATACGTTCAAATGAAAACCGATTAAATTAGATATTGGTGTAAATAATTTTTTTTTTCAAAATAATAATTGAAACACCCTTTGCAAACTTTTGCCTATATAATATCAAATAAACTTGGGAATTAATTTTCATATCGTTACTTGCACATTTACAGCTATAATCGATTGCATGTGATACTATGTTTCGTAAACAGAAAGAATTTGTAATTACTATATACCTCACTATTTATAATTCTCAATCGGTTTAAATATTAACTTTAGATTGAAACAAAATATTCTTCCATAATTACAAACATTATTTCAATATATGCCAAGCAAAGATGAATAAAATGACGGCCAAGAAAATAGCTATAGCCAATCACATAGCATGAAGATCCACTCATAATACAGCGCAATATTTTCATCAAATCTGAAGAGACTATGTACCTAGATCCAAGCGGGCTGTGAGAAAGCGGCGTCCAATTAACCGAAATGATAAATTCCAAGCTCAAATCGCGTCAGCTGTGACAAAAAAGGTACTTACTCGAGGGGCTGCGGAGAAAACTGAACAGGCAATAAGCTTGGAATCAGGCTAAGGCGTCGGCTCTGTGTGTGTGTGTCGCTATCGAATGACCAGGTCAATTCCCTCCCTCTTAACGTTGATATTGCTGCTGAGAATGAAAGTACCTCGCTCTCTTTGTACTGCTTTTTTTTCCTTTTTTTACAAATCATAAGTTCTATTTTCTTTTTCCTCGTCAATGTTGTAACGCTAAAGGTGCGCGCGTGTATAGCGCTGAATAAAGTCGTGAGATTATTTGAATTTGTCTGTTTATTTGGTTGGTGGCTGTATCGTATGTCCTTTACTATGCGGTTATGTATCGTAACAATGACATTGAAAAAAATAAAAAATAAAAAAAACGATAAAAATCTGTTTTCGCTCGAAAAAAATTGGCGTACGAACAATTGTGCACGGTCCATTATGCACCCAGAGACACCACTGACCGCACAATAAACTTCGAAAATTAGACTTTACTCGAGGTATTATGGTTGTGCACCTGAATCGACAAGCCGACGATTGTGCTCATAATTATTTTACACGAAAATTATATCGTGCACAAATAAACTGGGCAAATAATCATAGTACACACTTGGACAATTGTCCACGGTACACGCAAAATATTGTGTACAGTAACGTAGCGTACGGATTGATAAATACACGCTGACTCGCGTGCCATATACGTATACTGTGAACAGTATAGTTTGTGTATAACGAAACCGTGCACAATTGTCCGCATGCCAGTATGCGTGCACAATACTGTCATTCGAAAAATATATGTATTTGGTACGCGTATGATAACGTCGTTCACAATATCTTTGTAGTTATATAGTAGGTGCGTGCACGATAATATTCTTCACGTTCTCTCTAATAAATCATGTTCATAATAATTATTCTATCGTGCAGATTTATGCGTGATTGTTCTTATGTGAAACACGTTGATCTTGTTAAAATTTAAATTCTGGTGTGCACAACCAATTGTAAATCCTTTAGTTTGTGTAAGCTCCTTAATACGCCAGCATTTTTATATATACAGTTTGAGTCTTGCGCCTGACAGACTATATTCCTTCTATCTTTTCTTCTTGTAAAACCTGTGCTATTATTTTCATTACTGCATATTCGAGTGGGAAAGAGCCTACCTTGTACTACTCTATCGCTAAGTCAACGATATTTATGTATATTGCTGTGCTATTATAGGCTGATCACTGTACTTGCGACATGGGCATGCAGAATTCAATCCTAACGTCTCAATAAAGTCAATCAAATCAAATCAAACCTCTCTGAGTAACTCGCGCAACTTGTCTTCGTATTATGTCTGATGTGATTCTACACTCCCGAGCCAATTCAAATTCGTATTCAAATAGACAGTTTTTCTATACTTCGATAAGAAAAATAACGAGTGTAAAAAAATATATGATCCTTATAGTAATCAATAGAATAAGGTACTAAGGGAAATTATAGATTTATCTTTCAAAACATTTTAAAAACTTTATATTTTATTCATTATTAATAAATCTTATGGAGGAATGACAATACGTAATAGAGATTTTGCAGTGGCTTTGAATCAAAATCAAATTGAATCTTATGCATAAATTAAAATGGTTCCATATTTATTGAATCAAATTATCAAAGTAGTCAAATTATACGCAAAGTCGAACGGTTCCTACAATTTTTTCTAACGCCAAATACATTTAACTGAATATGAAACTGTGATACAGCGACTCTGTTAATATATACAAATTATCGCAATATTAGGATTTAAAAATCTCAATATATCTACGCGTACGACAGAATTTGGATGTAAAAGCTTACAAGAGGAAATAAAAACGATAGCATCACCTTTCTTTTGTGAATGGCGCTACATCAATCGTAGCCAGAATCATACTGTTGCCGCTACTCAAACAGCATATACAATCGGTCATTCTACGTTTCCTATTCCCGCGCTAGCAGCTCACAGTGTGACGCGCGGAGTAATCTGATAGCCGCTCGACACTTAGTGAGTGCGTGACGTTCCACATTTTTCGTTCATTCTCTTTTTTCGTTCGGCAAAGGAATTTCAGGTAACACGTATGTTGCTAATCTCAGTACTTCGTCGCTCGAAATTCTTTTTAAAGCGGTTAGATTTTAACACAGCGAGAATAGAAGTATAAATGGAATGGAAAGCCAAAAATTGTCACGTATCAGTCGATATTTTGGGAGAAGACCAAATTCTGGCAACGTCCTAAAATGGGATGCTTTTTGTTACGAGTGAATCTCTTGCTTCGCGAAGCAATTTTCTCTTACCGAGGAAATTTATTAAAAACCAGGGAGAGCTCTTTGTACGATAACCGGATTTTTCGAAGATTAAATACTTCTTGGTGCAACAGATCGTTTTTTCTTCCGCAAGCTGTCATTCGCTCAATACAAACTTCCTCTCGGGATAGGAGGAATTCTCTTGCTTGGCGGCATTGAA